CATTTGAATACGAGGATCGAAAAAGTGTCAATCACATATTCGTTCCAGGTTCTTTTGGTTTTCCATCCAGAGACCCAGTAGATGCCATTCACCAGCTTCAGCTTCAGCTGCACGATGTTCCGCATTGGTTCTCCAACCATCCCTTCTATCCGACGCGCACGAAAGCAAAGTTCCCTCCGTCAAAAGACATGGCAGTTGGTCAAAACAGGCCGGCCCAGTTTTTCCCACTGAGCATGAACAGAATGGACGTCACCAGACATGGTCAACCTAGCAGGGTTCTTATAGGATGAACAGAATTTTGACCCACAGCCATATATGTACACCAGGGCCCCCCTGTTTGGGGTGGTGAATGGATACCCCGAATCACCTCTGTTTGGAGCTAATAATTAGACACCCCTGGCCCGGGGGCCCTGGTATATGCTGTCATCTGCTGAACGGCGTTCTGCCGCAGCTGAACGGCTTCAGCCGCTCCAGGTGCCTTTGATGAGCGAAGAGGAGGAAGCTCTACAGACGCGATCAAAGAAGTGCCTCGCCTCGTTTCCGTTTCCTCGTTCGACGGTCCTCCGAAAAACGGTTGGACCAGGTGTTTTTCGGTTTCGACCGACATGAAAGGCGGAAGACGTGGGTGGAGTTGTTTGCATTTGGGCAACTCTTGTGGTTCTGGGATTCTTCAACTCATTTTTGTATAGGTGTAGAGACTCTGGAGAAGAAAACAAGGACCATCCCGGGTCGCAGTGCAGGGGAGTCCAGCCAGGACACCCCAACAAGATGGCCCAGATATAAGTATAGATGAGCAACATGTTCCATTTCTACCAGCACCCTCCCGAATCCGGTGGTTGGAAGGACACCCTGTTCCTCACCTCTTTACGAGGCGATTGAGAGACTTGGTGTCGGTCCGGAGTGTCAACAAAAAGCAATCTTGAGCCAAACAGCTGGCTAAAACTGATTTTCAAACCTCAGGAGTTAGGAGAGTTTTTATCATTCAACCGATGTGTGAAGATCTGCAAACATGGTGTTTTGTTGGTTGAGAATCTCAAAGATGGCCTTGTTTCGCTGAGGCACAAGCTAGAAGGACACCCTGTGGGAACATACTGAAAGTCATCAGAATTATGAAGACCTTGTGGCAAAAAACATATCATTTCTTTTGAGGCTGCATGATTTTTGCTTTCTTTGGGTTGCTGTACAAACATGCTGCAATGTAATTATACAATGCTGATGATGCCAAAGCTAGGGCGAGCATCACCAGCATCTCTTCATCCAAGAAACCCATAGTTCCGTGGAAAGGAGATAGGTTTTTCTGGACACAAATATGGGAGAGGATCCACATAGGAAGATACCCAGACAATGCGTCCCTATTTTGATACACAATCACATTCTTTTGCGGATTGCTTTTGCGGGGAAGGTGCCGATTCGAACCGGGACCATGTTTCTGCTCGGTGACTCTGGAAACATCGGGCAACCCCAAGATCTTTTGGGCCATAGCTGAAACATAGCTGAAACCCGCCATGCTACAACCCCTTTTCCAGTCGCTCTGAGGACAAGAACCCATGTCTCCTTCTTACGCTTGGACCGAGGATTTTCCAGGTGCTGGCCGTGCTGGGGGCGGCCTCATGCACCATTTGCGCCTCAGAGGCCCTGGCTGTGCACCACATCTGAGGCGTGAGGGCGAGGGCCGTCGCGCCGGAGGTGGACGGCGTTTTGCAGAAATGAGGTCCTTGAGTCCTTAAGACCTATCAGTGTGGGTACCGAGCTGACGGAACCGTGATTTCGCATGAAGACAGCTCGGTGGACCTGGGTTTTGTAGTGTAAACTCCTTAGTTGGTTCGGTCTTCAGCCTATTATGGTGGTTGGAAGTTTGTCAGCACCCGAGACCTGCCAGGTCACCACCTGCGACTCTTAAGTCTGCATTTCAGCCACCAGGGAAGACCTGGCAGGTCGACCTGGTGCTGGTAGGGGTAGTTCTATTTGTTGCTCCTTGGGATCCGCTCGAGGATCATGCGTCGCCGAGGATCTCGGACTCCCAGAGACGAGAGATCTCCGAATCGGCCTGGACGCGGAGGTCTGGATCTGTGTGTAAGTAGGGAGTCAGATAGTCGGTCTCGCCAGGACACCCCGGATGAGCAGGTTACACCCTGGTTGCACCTGGCTGGACCTCGTCACCTGGCTGTTGCAGCCGCCCCAGCCCACAGACCTATCCGGGATCTCCAGCCACAGCCCTTTCAAGAAGGTCGGTCCAGGTACCTGGATCTTCCAAACTGTGCAGACATTTTCTGCCGAACCTTCATCTCCGTCCAATTCAGCCGTTCGTGACGGCAGACATGGCTGGCATGTCGTTGGTTTCGATCCAGGTATTGGAACGGTCATCTTCAATCTCCCGTGGGAAGTGGAAGAACACTCACTCCCATCCTTTTGTCCCTCCGAAATTCCCGAAAACATGTCCCTCAAAAGTGTCCTATTTCCAAACATCCTGAAAAGGTTGGTTCCCTCATGTACCCTCCATTCTCCCAGAAGGTTGCGCAAGAGACTCGACCTTCATCCCCTAGGCTTCCAACAAGTTATTAATTCAATAGGCTTTATGGAATAAACTAAGGATTTTACCCCACAAAAACAAGGTCAAACATTTTTCAACTGGTCTTGGAAGTCTAGGGATCCCCTCCCTCTTTCTTCCATCCCCACGGGGTTTCCGCCTGCTTGCCGCGACCAGCCAGGCTTCTGCCCGGAGGACGAAGCCAAGCGGAGGAACGAACGGAACGCGACCAAAACAGGGCGCCGGTGCGAGGCACATGGCGCGACACATGGCGCGCCGGCACTGGACCTAAGCACTAGGAGCTCCCAGAGTCGGGTACTTCTTTTTGGACCCCCCCGCTGATCAGATGAGAAAATCCGTTCGCGATGTTCCAGCCTCCCAGGATCAATCTAGCTCTTTCGCAGACCATCCGGATCTTTAGATCCGCCTTTTTCACTGCTTTTTGGGCTCTGGAGTAGGGAGGGAGACCTCCACTTCCAAGGCCAATCGCAGATCCGAAAGATCGTTCACGTCCGTGGCACGCCGCTTGGTAGATCACCACAGGTCATGGTTCAGTTGGTGAGGTCTGCAGAGCTTGGCTCGTGGAACTTGGAGGCATGGGGGGAAGAAACAATGCTTGCATCACAACTTAGAGGACAAAAGCAGCAGAGCTTGGTTCATGGAACCCATGAATCACCTGTTAGATCAGGGAACCAAGAGGTGCTTGCAGGTGATTGCAGGTGCGTGCAGCCGTGTCCTATCTCAATATCTTAGATCAGCAATCGGAAGGCCATGAGAACATGACTCCACTGTGCAGAAGCTTCCAGGCAGGCTTCAGCCAGTCTGAACCAGAGGCAGGATTCTCAACGAAGAGCATGTCCGATTTCTTTGGCATTCTTTTTCAAGAGCTTTTTGTTTTGCAGCTGATTGGAAGGCTCTTTGTTTGGCTCCCAATTGCAGCTGGTTTTTTTCCAACCATGACCTCAGCTCGACCTCAGCAAAGCAACCCACCCACCAACGAGTGCTCGTCTACCTCCAAGCGATGGGCCGGAATCCGCCGTCGCACCCGGAGGGTGCGGATGCCCGCTCCGGACGTGAGGACGTGGAGCGACGCCGTCGCACCGGGTGAGCACACGGTGAGGAACGGTCCACCCCGAGGTTTCAGAGCGAAGAGATGCAGAGGTTGTTGCAAGAAACGTCGGTCTAACCACCGGGAAACCGAAGTGCAGCGGTTTCTTGCACTAGTTTTCTCTTTTTTTTGTGAGAAGATTCGGTTATATGGATGAATTTATAGGCTAAAGTCTGGGTCAGAAGGAATCCCCGTGACGGGTCCTTTGTTGGGGGGGAGAACGTCCGTCCCACCCTTTCTTGTGGGTTTTCGACCAACTAACCAGAGCAAGTCCCTTGGGCCGTGCTAGATCAGTGGCGAGGGCCCGGCCGGTTCCTCAGCCCATCAAGACCCCAAGCAGCACCGAAACCCTGCCAGGTCGACCAGGTCGACCTGGTGACTTTTGAAGACTTAAAGAGTGGACCTGGTGGTGACCTGGCAGGTTTCGGGTCCAGGATGGTCTTGATATTTCAACCCCCCCGACATGAAGAGGATTCTGAAAGAAGAACAAGGGGCGTGGTTTGCCACAGAGCGGATTGATGTTCGTAACGTGCGTGCCCTCTTCTGAAGAGGTTTTGTTACTTTTTTACAATCAACATGTGGGGTTTGATTCATCAAGACTCCAAAACGCTGCGACCACCGACCACCGACCACATTGTGCCCGGGGACGAGCTGACTTGAAGTGTGAAAGAGTGTTCAGCACGCTACGAAGAGGTTCCGGCTGACTTGTGCGTGTTTTTCACCTGGTCGATGGGCCCAAGGAGCCCAACCCTGAGGACTCAAAACAGTCTGAAGCAGAGGGGGTGACCGGCCCTTTTGCTCTGAATACGAAGATCAGTATGATGAATCATGCAGTCTGTGGTCCGCTCAAGATCAGTACCCTGTTCCAGTATTTCTTTGGTGCAAATTGATGCATGACATGCCTCTACATGCTCCATTCGTGGGTCCAAACACCAGCGCTCGTGCGATCATGATTCATTCCTTTTCTGGGATCAGATGTTGAAGTAAACATCCACCACAGGCTGCTTGATGCCAACCGTGCTAACCCACTGACCATGCTGCCCACTGCAATTGCACAGTCGTTGCTGGTCTCAAGGAACTCTGCTTAGTAAGATGTCAACGATACATCTTTTTTTTCGCTGAACACGTTCCATCTGATGCGAATGTTCATACACTCTCAACCAAACACATGCAAATGGAGGGCATATGGATGGCATGGTCCCCACATGCGAACACTACCCTACCTTTAAATTATGAACATCGGCGGGTTTGCGTCAGTTTTCCACTCAAGCTTGATTTGACCGTGAGAGCTCGTGGGCGGGTAAGAAGTCGCATGTTTCAGCCTGAGTCAGTCTACTGTCAATGCAGGACTCCACTGGAATTCGACCCTTTGGCCCTTGTGTTCAGCTCCAAACTGCTCTGCTGTTCCAGCATCGTGTCCGCGCCATGAGCGCTTGCGAGGGCAAGGGCGGCGGCGAAGCCAAGGCCAGGGGGGCGAAGCAGAACATGAGTGACCTCGGACCACCAACCATCCAAAAAGATGTTTTTGCCCTAACAGTATATCAAAACAGGCCGAGCTGCTCAATGGTTGTATTTTTCGGTTGATCAAACTCCTCGATCTCCTTGATCGCAGTGAAAAAACCCTAGGGCTCCATACCCTCAGAAGATGATTGGACCCCCCCAAATCCACCCCAACCATCTTCTCAGAAGGTAGGCCAATAGCCCTATAGGGAACATTTCCAGTTGCTTGCAGAGGTTCGATGGCATCAGCTCCCCAAGATATCTTGTCGACGGATGGGCGGAAAGAACTGCATTCTGTCCAAGCATCAGGCGGCCACTCAGCTGGACAACACGGCTGTCACAGCCGTGTCATCCAAGTTCTTTCGAGGTGAAAGATCACCTCCAGGTGAGGTGAGAACCCCCTAACATACACAAAACATACCTCTGTTTGAGATGTTCTTTAGTACGTGCTCAAGCCAAGCCGCTGCTTCGTGCCACGTGCTGCGGCGAACATCAGCGTTGCTGAATCTCCGCAGCAAGCTGCGGCGCCTCAGGAGGGATGGACGCCGGTGCAATACCTCTGGAAGTCCAGAATCCCTCTCATTGCTGCACCTTGGAGACAGGGGGATTGGCTTCGTAGGATGTACTTTTTTTGGGTTGGTATTGGTATGATATAAGATCGGATATTCTCTCCCGGTCTCTCCCTGATGTTTAGAAGATGCAACCCGATAGTAGACTTATATAATGCCGTGAAGTTTCTCAAACCATTAACCATATACTCCCTAGACTTCTGTTCGACCATTAAAACCATGGTCTTTCACTGGCTTTTGTAGTGTAAGATCCTTAGTTCGTTCGGGATTCAGCCTATGAATGGTGGGCCAGGAAGCCTTAGGGTACTACTTGTTGGTTTCCAAGTGATTTCCCGCACGGATGTCTCTTGGAGATGACTTTCCTGCTTCCCTGTCTCGGCTTCGTTATGGATTCGATCCCAGGCGCCGGTGCTGCTGGCCCTTCAACACACTGAGCGTCATGTTGAGACAGAGCTTCTTGGTGGAAGAGGTTAGACATTGAGGTTGGTGACCAGCTGAAACCGTCAAAAAGCAGCTGGTCAACTGGCAGCATGGGGAGCACCCATTGATGCAGCGGCTTTTTTCTTAGATGATGCTTTCCGCACCAGATCCTGTGGTATCCTTTGGTTCCGGAAAGGCGGAGAAACGAAGGAGTTAGATGGCGCTCTGACTCGAGGGGGCCTCTGAGACGGGTCGCCAGGTCCATTCCTGTTGATCAAAGAAGCTTTTAGTTATGACCAGGGGTGGTGTTTGGTCTCATCCAGGGGCTGTGGAGTAGCTGGGCACCCCTAACCTCCAAGACTACCTCCAAGTTTGGCACCCCGTCAAACGTGACTCCTGGTTATGACGAGTCCTTTTCTTTGCCTGGCCATTCACGCAACACCTCCCACGCGCAGCATGGTGCTCCGGCCGCGTCGGCACCTGACAGCTCCGAGAGGTTCGCCTTCGAGCTGCCCTTGCTGCTTTTCTTGGCCCTGGGAACAGGCCAAGGAAGAAATCGCTCCGCTGACATGTTCATGGGACATGTATGGACATGTTCATACCTGGAACCCAGGGACTTCATATTTTCCAACCTGGAACGAACTCGGGGTCCTGGGAGGTGGATCGTGGGCTGGGGCGGCTGACCTCGAGGGTCCTGAAGGTGCTCATGGACCCCATGTTGCATGGATGGTGTCAGGGCTCCTTGTCCAGCCTTCACCAGCGTTCAGACCGCTTGAAGACCCAGCGCTGCCCGTCTTCGGTCTTCGGGTTTCCTGCCTTAAGCAGGAAGAAGCTGACCAGGTCCGGAACGGTGCAGGGCGTTCCTGTCAGACATGGTGTGTATTTTTCTATACTCCCTAAGAATCCTTGGGCTCTCCATGACTGGGGTACCTATATGGGATAGACGAACGTTCGGGTTCTTCAACCTCTGGTCCCCCTAGAAGTCCAGAAACCGACGATATTTGGACCGACTGAAGGTTTCAGGACATTCCCCGACTGAAGTGAACGTGGTGCCTTTGGACCCAAGGCTCACCCTTACCCAGACACGACCCGTCTGGGACTGCCATAGGACTGCCGCCCCATTGGATTACATTGGGATGGTGGGTTTGGGGCTCAATGGGGCGGCAGTCCTATGGCAGTCCCATTAGTCGTGTCTGGGTACTACTGTAATTGTTTGACGTTCGTGTTGTTTCGGTCGGTGAAGGCTTTGTTGGATTGGTTGCGTTCATATGCTTTCTATACCATTATATGGTTGCTTTCAGACCTGGATCTTCCAGCTGTGCAACATGTCCTGCCGAACTTCATCTATCCAAACCCAGCCAAGTCCTTCAGACCTGGCTGGCATGTCGTTGGACGATCGAGGTGGAGAAACGGCGTGCGGGTTTGAGCCGTGCACCGGGTCGCCGTACATCGGCAGGCTACTTGCGCTTACCATTTTCCATTACCTGGTGGCTGGTCTTGCTGGCTGCCTTTGCGCTTCAGACCAGGTGCGGGGTATGTGTCCCTGTTGCCCCATTGGTTGCCGACATCAGAGGGAAGGAGGAGCACATCGAAGCAAGAGGAATGACACCAACGCTTCAACAACAGGGTCGAGGAAAAGTGGCTTCCAAGTAGAGCAAGGATATGCCAGCCTCATGTAGGCCACGTGCTGATGAACATATTGACAAACCCAGGATTTTGTCACAAATTTGGGGTGATCTGGCCCTAAGTACCCTCTGAGAAGGTGGGACTGGGGTGGGTGCCAGGAGGGTCCAAGTACCTTTTGAGGAAGTACTTGGATCCCTAGGCTGCCGGCCGTGAAATCTCACATCTACCGAGTCTGGAACGTGGACCCTTCGGAACCTAGAGGATTCAGGTATATCAAATCCAAATCCTCGGGTTTCTGGGGTTCTGATTCCAAAAAAACCGCCAGGACCATCCTGTCGGGGTGTCCTGGCTGGACCCCACACTACCTATATATCGGCTTCCAGACAGGGCACCCCGAAAACGGAGGGTCCAGGCGGTTTTTGGGGGTCACGCCGTGATGATGGAGGGTCCGCCCATGTGTCCACGCACGCACGCCTGGGCCTGCGTGCGGCGTCTGTGACCGGTCGTGTGGCGGATGAGGTTCCTCTTGGGGGTCGCCACCGTGCTGTCCTTGTCGGTGCTCATCACTTGGTGCCTTCGGTCCGGTCGAAAAGGAGCAGCTTCGTTGGAACGGGGTGGGAACGGGAGGTGGGGCGAAGAAAAGGATGGGGCGTTCTCCGCTGTGACGGATGGCCGCAAAGGCTCAGTAAAATTCAGGACCAGGAGTCACGTTCGACGGGGTGCCACATGTGACTCCTGGTATAAACGATATAAGTAGGACGGATGATTGAAGACGCTTGAAGACGTTTGAAGACGATCTTTGACGGATGTGTTATACGGATTGGCCTGGACCCCCCCAGCTAACCGGAACCCAACATGGCGCCAGCTTGAAATCCACATGGGAAAATGGTTGGGACTGGGGAGCAGTTCCATCCATTTCTGCTTGGGACTGGGGTTCCAGGGCTTGGCGTTGATAGACACCACTCGGTGCCGGAGCCGGCTGAGGGGGCGGAAGGGGTCGGGTCTCGTCAGCGTCGGATTCTGCAGTGGTCGGGTTGGGGAAATCCAAAGCCTGGAACCAGAGGTGGTTTTCGTGACCTGGTCCCCCATGCAACGAAGAAAGACGGAAGCTTCATGAAGCGACACTCCCAACAGAGGTGGTGTTTCGGTGACCAGGTCACGTTCGGACCTCGGACCGGTGAGTCACCGAAAGTACCGAACGTGACCGGAGAGTCGAACGGCCTCGGGTTCGCTCCCCCCCCAGCTGACTGAAGATGGTCGAGCCATGTCGAGCCGCACAGGTTCAGGAACGCACACTGTGGTGGACGAGTGGTGCCAACAAAAGGTGGTTGGACCCTGGGTCATCTGAAGGTTCGCAGACTTGGTGGGTGAAGGTCTTCACCCTTTTGAACCTACAGGGGGGGCTTTCGTCCTCCTTTCCTCAAGAAGATCAGCTCTGGGATCCTCCCAGGAGTCGACCATGGTCAACACATCTTCTGTACCTGGACCCGAGACCTGCCAGGTCACCAATGGTTCGACCGCTTCGACAGGGTCCAACCCTCAACTAACAGCCTGTACGTTGGAGGGTGCTGGTACGTAAGTGATCCGAGCAGTGAGTAAGGTGGTGAGGAAGGTCCCAGTCACATGGAGGGCCGTCGGGTGGTGTGGCTCGTCCCATCCAGGGCGGGGCCGTGGATGTGACGGTTCGCGGCACCGACGTACTCCGAACGGTTCGGAACCGGCGCCCTGGAGCTCACGTGACTACTGCGTGGTGCCCCCAGAAATCGTCCTAACTGGACGTCCAGCACCGAAACCCCGCCAGGTCGACCTGCGTTTGGGGTGGCGACGCAGGTCGACTTAAAGAGTGGACCTGGTGGTGACGCAGGTCGGGTGCTGGTACCTCGTCCTCATCCTCGTCCTCGTCCGCACCTCGTGTCACCTCGGCCCTCACGTCGCGCCGCCGTCCCATTGCCAGGGGCCACGACCGCGCCGCCACCGCGCGATGCCACGGCGAAGACGTCATGACCACGTCCACCCGACCGCCAGGTACGGCTTGCGCCTCCGCCACGCTGCGGCCATCAGTGCGCTTTGGGCAGGACGTGGACGACGACAGCGCGCCGGTTCGGTGGTTCGCAGGAACCGAGGTCGCAGCGTGTGAGATCCAGAGGTACTTCATAAACACTTCATGTTCTTTCATACAAAAAGAGGAGTGATGAGAAGGTCAAAATGATGTGTTGGAAGATGAACCAGTCCCATGGCAATCTCCTCTATAGTAAAAAGTAGAAGAGGAGGGTGGGAACCACTCCAGATGTTCTGAACATTTGTGGAATCTCTGGAACTGTTCATGGGTCCCTAGGTCAACCAGGGTTGCCTGATGAGCCGCGGATAGCCGCCATTTTTGTCTGAACAAAGTCATGGAGTCTCGATTGCTATACACTCCATGGGACTGCCAGTCCGTTCTGCCGCCCCAGAGTCTGACCCACCCCCTGGCACCACCACCCCATCGGCCGTGAGTTCCTCGGCAGTCCGGACTGGCGTCGTCCCATGTGCTGGTCGCGTTTGGGATTGCTCTGCGCCGGGTCGAGAGACCGAGCGGGATCCCAGTGGATCTCGGGAGTCTAAGTGGGCATGAGGATGTGTTCGAGAATTTATATAAACCTTAGAAGTCCAGGAACCGACTATATTTTGACCGACTGAAGTAAAGGATCTTCCTTTTGGGTCACCTAAAGACCATTCTTTGTATATCTTTGTTTGGTCTTTGACTCCCAGGGTAAATGTATGAACAAGATTGAACATCATCTGCAGTCACTAAATATAGGATCAAGTGTGTAACAGTGATTGGAAGCTGTTTCCCAATCACTAAGCCCTAAGCCAAGCCAATAGTTGGCATCAGTGCCAAGCCGCCACAAGGCTAGCAGCGAGCAAGCAGAAGACAGACACAAAAGTAGAGTAAGAATCCCCTAGACTTCCAAGACCATTAAACCAATGGTTCACCTGGTTTTTGTAGTGTAAAACCCTTAGCTGATTCAGGATTCAGCCTATTAAATTCATGGTGGGCCAGGAAGCCAAGGGAATCGGCAAGGTCTTCCCACATACGTCAAGCCCTCATTCGATCCATGGCGAAGCGAATTTCAGCACGGCAGCCGAGTGGTGAAGTCCGTTTTTTTGAAGTCACGCCAGAGATGACCGGCCGGGCACTCAAGCAGAAGATCAAACAGGAACAGCCTTGCTGGGACGAGCTCACTCGCAGCACTACAGGTGTGGAGATCATTGTCGGAGACAACCACTTACTGGCCAATGATGCAAAGGTATTGGATGCTGGAATTACTGAAGGTACAGCTGTGAGTGTTGTCTTCAAGCCAAACGTTGTGATATGCTCCAATAAAAAGAAGATCGCCAGTCTTGGCGGCATCGTTGACCCAGAACTGTTTCTTGTGGTCGAAATTCCATATGGTGAAACAGAAATTTGTGAAGGGGCTTTCAAGTTTTGCACCGCATTGGCCAAAGTGACCATCCCGGACTCAGTGACCCACATTGGGACTCATGCCTTTGCTGGTTGCAGCTCTTTGGCCAACGTGACCATTCCACACTCGGTGACCCACATTGGGGATTGTGCCTTTCAGAATTGCAGCTCTTTGGCCAACTTGACCATTCCAACCTCAGTGACCCACATTGGGGATTGTGCCTTTCAGAATTGCAGCTCTTTGGCCAACTTGACCATTCCAACCTCAGTGACCCACATTGGGGATTGTGCCTTTCAGAATTGCAGCTCTTTGGCCAACTTGACCATTCCAACCTCAGTGACCCACATTGGGGATTGTGCCTTTCAGAATTGCAGCTCTTTGGCCAACTTGACCATTCCAACCTCAGTGACCCACATTGGGGATTGTGCCTTTCAGAATTGCAGCTCTTTGGCCAACTTGACCATTCCAAACTCGGTTACCCACATTGGGACTCGTGCCTGTCAGAATTGCAGCTCTTTGGTCTACTTGACCATCCCAAACTCCGTGACCCACATTGGGACTTGTGCCTTTCAGAATTGCAGCTCTTTGGCCAACTTGACCATCCCAAACTCTGTGACCCACATTGGGGCTGGTGCCTTTCAGAATTGCAGCTCTTTGGTCCACTTGACCATTCCGGACTCCCTGACCCATATTGGCGATGCAGCCTTTCAGTGTTGTAGCTCTTTGGTGAATTTGACCATCCCTGACTCAGTGACCCACATCGGGACTTATGCCTTTCAGAAATGCAGCTCTTTGGCAAACTTGACCATCCCAAACTCGGTTACCCACATTGGGACTTATGCCTTTAAGGGTTGCAGCGCTTTGGTGGAATTGACCATTCCACACTCGGTGACCCACATCAAGGATGGTAGCTTTCAGGATTGCAGCTCTTTGGCAAACTTGACCATCCCAAACTCTGTGACCCACATTGGGACTTGTGCCTTTCAGGATTGCACATCTTTGGTGTTGACCATCCCAAACTCGGTTGCCCACATTGGGACTTATGCCTTTAAGGGTTGCAGCTCTTTGGCAAACTTGACCATCCCAAACTCCGTGACCCACATTGGGGCTGGCACCTTCCAGAATTGCAGCTCTTTGGTCCACTTGACCATCCCAAACTCGGTTACCCACATTGGGACTTATGCCTTTAAGGTTTGCAGCTCTTTGGCGGAATTGACCATTCCACACTCGGTGACCCACATCGCGGATGGTAGCTTTCAGCATTGCAGCTCTTTGGCCAACTTGACCATCCCAAACTCTGTGACCCACATCGGAGATTGTGCCTTTGAGGATTGCACATCTTTGGTGTTGACCATCCCAAACTCGGTTACCCACATTGGGACTTGTGCCTTTCAGCATTGCAGCTCTTTGGCAAACTTGACCATCCCAGACTCCGTGACCCGCATTGGGACTTGTGCCTTTAAGGGTTGCAGCTCTTTGGCCAACTTGACCATCCCAAACTCTCGGAGATTGTGCCTTTGAGGATTGCGCGTCTTTAGTGTTGACCCTCCCAGAGTCGGTGACGCACATTGGGAAGGATGCTTTTGGGACCTGCAGAGTGGCAAAGCGCTGAGTCTTCGAAGACACCGTCCAAAGGCTTGCGTGGACGGATTGTCTTCATCCGAGACCGGCGCCAGACGCGACCCGAGAGCGGCCCCGAATCCGTTCATGGGGGTTTCATGGCGTTTCATGGTTTCGAAACCTTTCGAACCCAGGTCTCAGGGGTCAGGGACCAGGTCTCAGGGTTGTTTGGAGTGTCGGAAGTGCCGAACCTGCCGCGTAGCGAAGCTGTCGCAAAAGACCCATCTTGCCAGACTTTCCTAAGTACCAACAGAGGTTAAGTGACCTGAACTAGGACACTCACTACAGGGGTACCTATGGGATAGTAGGTCTTTCAACCTTCGTTGGTAGGACCCTCCTAAGTAGGGGTCCGGACCCGAACCAATCCCCAGGGTTTGGTTCGGGACCAGTCGAGCTGTTTTCACGGAGCATCTAGGTTGGACAAAGAAACGCGTGATCAAAGACAACGAGGTTGATGGTCACAGCAACGCGGCATCTGCAGCCAACATCTCCTTTTTGGGAGAAAGAGAATCGCGCTCACTGTCCTCGTCCGTCTTCCGGAGGTTCACTCTCCGACGGCATTTACATTGGGAAGTGAAACCACACCCACCTGGTTTGTGGAGAAAAAGGCCCCTCACCTCCTGCAGGTCACTGGGTTTGGGCTCCCCCATGACCGTTCGCCCGCCCCGCAGCATGGGGGAATGTGTTGGACTCGTCTCCAAGCTCCAGGCTCCAGCGACCATCCCCCGAATGCTTCCGGTTTTGGCCTTCCGTCATACCGAACCGTTTCGGTTCGGGGGAACTGGGGGGCGGGTGCCCAAACGTCGCCAGTCAGACCGAACCCTGGAGCTTCGGCACGACCACGGGTACAGTCCTTATAAGCCCTAGACTTCCAAGACCATTAAAACAATGAAGCACCTAGTTTTTGTAGTGTAAAACCCTTAGTTGATTCAGCAAAGCCTATTAAATTAATGGTGGTTGGAAGCCTAGGGTAAGGGTTCTGACGCGAACGCGGACGCCAAACCCAACGGCCCAGCGGGGCGGTCCGGTGGCCCACTTCGTCCGGAGGCTCCGTTCTCCGGGCGGTCCGCGGAGTTCGGGCGTTCGGCGCGCGCGCGAGCGTGACCGCGGTGTGACAGGAGTTCCGGTGTCGCCGGGGAGCAGAAGAGCGTGGCAAGTCTGGGACCTTTGTGTTCACTTCGGGCCGGCGGTGGCCGTACTCTTTCGCCATGGGCCCAGCTTAGGCGAGGTTTCGGATTTGTCCGCTTTATAGTGCTTTCGGGAACACCCGTCTGGTCGTCTATAGTCTTTTTGGGTCTTTTCGAGGGCGGAGGGGGAGGTGAATTAGGGTGGTGAATTGGCAGCCTGCAGGTGGTGATGGGGGGTTCATCCACAAGATCGAGACGTTGAGGGGTCTTTGACTTAACATCGCGAGCTGTTCTTCAGTTGGTGACTATATGATGTGGATGTTACGTTTGAAGAAAAGATGACCATGCATATGTTGACTTGTTTCATGTGTTGGACCTAGCTGGATCTTCCAACTGTGCAACATGTCTGCCGAGTCTGCCGAACTTGGCAAGGTTCTACAGATGAAGAGACACACATATTTTTGCAGATCGAGTTGGAAGACCGCCTGGTCCAAAAGGACCTCCCTCGCGGCCAGCACCGAAGTGTTCACTCCGGCCTCCAGTTCCAGGTATATTTGATTTAATTAAAGGCTCATGGGACCCTCAGTTGGCTAGGGTTTTGACCCCCCCCACCCTGGGTGAAATGGACCGAACACAATAGCAATGCTAGCAGCTAGCAGTTCGGGTTGGTCGCCTCAAGACGCCTCCCTGGTCCGGACGGACAGTACCCTGCGCTGGTCGGCTTCGGCTTCGGCTTCGTGTCATGACGAGTCCCCAAAGGCTCGGAGATCTAGAAGCGTTTGGTTTCGTCCAGTCGAGCATGTTTCAACGCTCTGACGAGTTCGGTGATCCGAAGTCAGGAACTTCCTGAACACTTGGGTGCCGAAAAAGTCTTTGGACTTCTAGGGTAAGGCTTATAGACTTATACCAGCGCCCGACTTCACAGGTGCTTCCTGGTGACAAGTCCGGTGCCCAGGTTCACCACCTGTGGTCCCAACGGAAGTCAGCTTCTTGAGTGGAGAATCTCCACCCTCGACCGCGCCAACATCGCTGTCAAAACCAACGGAGCGACAAAGCCCCGCCAGGCCTGCTAGAAGCACCTCACCCAGGTTTAGTGACCCCTGGCTGTGCACTGGCCGCGCTGCCCATGTCGCTGCTGTGGCTGGCCGGGTGCGCCACCATCGGGACGTTCCGCGCGCGGGAACCGGCGGAAGAGGTTGACCCTGTCGACTTCCGTTCGACCATTGTTTTTCACTATAATGTAAAATCCTTAGTTGATTCGGGATTCAGCCTATTAGTTTAATATAGTGGTTGTCAAGTCTAGGGTTGAAGGGATCGGTAGCGTCCGATCGCTCCTAATAGTACGGCCAGGAGCCCTGTTCGTAGCTTCTTGTTCCGTTCGTAGCGATGCGTTCGTAAGCTCCGTTCGTAGCGTCCCAATATAGACCTTCCTGGGGGCCAGGATGGTCCGCGCCCGAAGCAAACCCTATCCGTTGGTCCGTTGGGTCGGGCGATTCTGACCGGATCTCATATGGCGACTGCGTTCGTTCTGCCGAGTCTGACCCACCCCATCGGCCCCCCTGAGTGAAATGAAGGCAGCTCCGGACGGTCGTCGTCCCATGTGCTGGTCGTGTCTGGGTATAATCATCTCACCACAGTGGGACAGACTGAACAAGACGTGGTTCCCCCGTGGTTTCGCTGGTTCCCTCGTGACTCGTGGTGCAAGGACTCGCCTGCGACCGACGCGGTCCCAAGCTAGTCCTGAAAATCTCATCGAGTAAATAGATCATTCAAAAACATCAATATTTTTTAAACACCTGGTGATGTCAATAGTTACTAAGTTGAACAACTCACTATGGCCTATTATGGAAGACTTATAACCAAACATAGACCTACTTACAACCTGACTTAGCACAGGACAGTAGCTTCACTATTTGGGGTAAGCACAAACACAGCCCCCGTGATCCTTCAAGTAGTGTTCCGGAATACATGACATGATCACTGACCTTAAAATGAGGTCAACCAGGAGTCACGTTTGACGGGGTGCCAAACTTGGAGGTAGTCGGGGTGCCCAGCTACTCACTGGATGAGACCAAACACCACCCAGGCCCTCCATGTGACCCCTGGAATACAGTCGTGGTGACGTCCTGGTTTTTGTGCCGGTCTCAGTCTCATCCACCTTACATGACATGATCACTGACCTTAAAAATGAGGTCAACACTGATCCTTTTTTGAGGCTTTCCAATGACCACCATCCACGACCTCACGGGGATTTGCGGACTTGACGACTCGACGACCACCCGACGACCACGGTGGCCGTCCGGTGACCGCCTCGCTGACTCTGGAGGGACGGGACGTGACGGTCAAACGTGACGAGTCATGAAGGGATGGGGGCCCCCCCGGTCGGGTCCTTTCTTGGATTTTTTTCTAAAGAGGTCATGAGTGGGCCCCCAGTCCTTTCATGTTGAGTCATGACTGGACTTCCAAGGTCTGTTGATGCTGATTCGGGGGGACCATTTCGGATGAAAAGGATTGGATGAATCCACCTGACACTGCACTTTCGGGGTGCCAGGCTGCGCTTGAGCTGGGGAAGTGGCTGTGCCTGGGCATGGCATCGCAGTCGATCGTTCCGACAGCGGCCATCGCCCGGATGGAAGTCACGGCTCCGGATCGGCGATCGGCCACCGAGCCCAGGCCATTTGGGCTCCAAAAAAGCGCACGGTGATGGACGAAGGGTGTTGTTTTCCATGGCTGAAGCGCCAGTGAGCGGTGTTTAGCCAGTGAGCTGGTACAGCGATGGGCTGTTACCATCTCAATCCTGACAGAATCTGTGCCACACGTTGAGCTCTTAAAAACGTAGGACGTTTCTCTACTAAGTGATGTGCATTGCGACCAGGTGCGGCTTTGATTTCTGGCTGCTGGATGTCTTTACTTAGAGTACAACGCGTGCATTGAGGGGATCTACCCCTACAGTTCAAGGACCTCATTTGACTGGGTCGGGCGATGCAAAACCAGTACCAGTTTTTACCTGGGTCAAACTGGACTTGTACTTTTGTTCTATCTTTCGGATGGGACTGATGGCTACTCATCTGGAAGGTGGATGAGACTGAGACCGGCACAAAAACCAGGACGTCACTGCGACTGTATTCCAGGGGTCACATGGAGTTGGGTGGTGTTTGGTCTCATGTGAGTGGAGTAGCTGGGCACCCCGACTACCTCCAAGTTCGGCACCCCGTCAAACGTGACTCCTGGGATTGTGTTTTCTTTTTTTAGGCAGGGAGACCGAGCCCTTTTAGGCCCCTTTCTTTGGGCCTCGTCCTCGTCGCCACCTGTCTACTCATGTTCTCCTTTGCAGGTCCACTTGGGATGGATCAAAAGTCGCGCCAGCAAGTGGAGTCATCCGCAATATTTTGTTTGTAGGCTGCTTAGATGAGAACACCAGTCGTGAGAGTGGAGAATCACTCCATGGATGGCAAGTCCCAGATGAGTTACCATGTACTCCACAAATGAAGCCGCCACATCTGCCTGGCTGTCCCCAATGAAACCGCCACATCGACACACACCGGCACACCGGCTGATTCTCCACACCGTTCTCCCACGCTGTCACCGAGCACGTTCTCCGCTGTCACGTACTCTCACTCTTTCGTCCAATGATGAGAGGTCTCCAGGTTCACCTCCCCTTCTCTGAATCAGAGGAATCTATTACCATTACCTGCAAAACAGGTGGTCATTGGGAACATACATCTGAAACATGGGGGTCCTTTTGTTCCACCCAATGAGTGGTGCTGGTATTAATCTATATTCATGTTCAGCGGTCAATTAGGGACCCCCCCCCCGCAGGTTTGAGCTCCACGCCCTTACGTCACCCCGTACGTGGCGCCTTCAACGGCGCTCGGTGGAACCCGCTGGCGCCGGTGTCGCGCGGACCGGTCGCGTCATGCCCGTGGACCCCTGTTCTCGTCCGACCGGTCGCCACCAACGGCGTTGGTCGAGGTGACCTGGCTCTCAGTCGCCACGCCTACCGGACCTCCGTGGAGCTTCCGAAGGAGGCCGGAGAGTCGAAGAGAAGCCGAAGCCGAGCGGTTTTGGGGTTCGTTTGAAGGGGTTGGAAGGGGGGGCGGGTTGCTTTTGGAACGGCCAGGGAAGCCATTTCGAGAAGTTGGAGAGAGAGAGAGAGAGAGAGAGCGCATCCCTTGGAACTGAACAAACCACTCCGATTATATAAGCGAGAAACCAGGACAGGGTGCGGTCCACCGTTGGTTGGTTACCGTACGTGTGCGACCCGCGCGACACGTGCGACGCGCGGCGCGCGACACGTGCGACGCGCGGCGCGCGACACGTGCCCATGTTCACCACCCCGCCCGTGCCCATCTTCCAACAGCAGACATGATCGGAATTCGCTAAGTGGAGAGCGCGGCATGTCACCTGACGTCTTAGACTTGGCAAGGAAACACACCAGTTGGCTTCACTCGAATTCATGGGAACACACCCCTGCACCATGGGGGAATACTTCCATGCAGGGTCCACCAGTTGACCTGATCACCGATCTGATTCTCCTCTCGACGAGCAGCGATGACGTTCAATCCGTCCTCTGGAGGGTCAATCCGTCCTGAAACAGGATGGATTGGCCAAGTGTGGAACCCCAGTCCCAACCAGAAACCAATGGTTGGAACCCAATATGGCGCCAGCTTGAAATCCTTTACATAGGAATGGTTGGGACTGGGGAGCAGTTCCATCCATTTCTTTCTGCTTGGGACTGGTGTTCCAGGCTCGAAGTAAGACTCCGGGCCCCTGAACCTCTGAGGTTCGGAGCTTCGGCTGCCAGGTCTCTGAAGGTCCGGACCACACACAACGACACCTTGCGTGACGCACCTCACGGATCCCTGCCCTTACGGGGGAGTACACGAGGAGAACATATGTGCAAAGAACAGTGTATTATGTCACAAAAACCATGGTTTCACCTGACATTCGTCACCAATTTTGCATGAATTCCCCATTCTTTGCTCGTCGCCGGTCACGCGACTGACGGTCCACAGTGCCACACCAGTCCGCGCCCAAGCACGCGCGCGCGCGCTCGACACACGCGAGACAGC